CACATATCAAAAAAGTTAAGAAACTATAAGAATTTGTTCCCTTGTCAAAGAAGTTGAGAAATTAAGGAACATTTCTTTCTTATCATACTTTTAAACATAATAAATTCTTATTTACTTTAAACATTATATGTTCTATTTCCTTATGCTTCTACATTAAACGAATCTTATCTCACTAATTCATATATACTTCATGGTGTCATGTCTCTAGGTTCACATTTTATTAGTTTCTTATAATATTTTTTTAAAGGGAAAGTATTCATTAATGTGAAATAAGCCTTTTATGTCTAGCGTTCAAGGTCAACATTGAAAAAAAGCCAACATTAAAAATAATCGATGACATTGTTGTAAATAATTATCCTATTTAGATGTCAGAAATTTTCACATTTCGATGTCATATGCCTAATTGACTTCTAAAAAAGGGAATTTCAACGTTAATTAACATTGAAATTTCACTTTTTAGACGTTATATTGTTGCATGAATCATGTCAACCTGCACAGAAAGGACCTTTGGGCTATCCAGGAAGCAAATGCTTGAAAAGGAGAATTTCGACATTAATTAACGTTAGAATTTCACCTTTTAGACATTATATGGTTGCATGAATCATGTCAATCTACACAGAAATGACCTCTGGGTTGTCCAGGAAGCAATTAGACATATTAAAAGGAGAAATTCAATGTCAATTAACATTGGAATTTCACATTTTAGACCTTATAGGGTTGCATGAATCATGTCAACCTACACAAAAATGACCTTTGGGTTATCTAGGAAGTAATCAGACGTTTGAAAAAGGAAATTTTGACATCAATTAACATTGGAGTTTCACTTTTTAGACGTTATAGGTCCTTTGATTTTTGTGAATTCATTAAAACAGTTGGCGGACAACTCCAAAACTTTACTACCATAAGACGTTGAAAGCCGTAGATTGCAACGTCAATTACCTATAAGATGTTGGAATTACTCTCTTTTCGATGTCATATGTCCTATAAAAATTTGTAAGAACATAACCCACATAGTTTCTTTGCGCTTTCATTTATGTTTGAATTTGGGTTTTCAAAGACGAATACGAGGGAGAAGAAAGGTTAGTTTTTTGCCATCTACCTCTTGTGAAAGTGTTTTCTTGCCTTTGTTGGGATATTTTGTTAGTTTTGACCGATTTATATCAATTTTTCATTTAGTATTTACATCCTTAGTGAGTTGAAACTATATCACCCCTAAGTGAACCAATTGGTTTGTTCATGAGTGCAAGAAAGAACAAAGATTATTTTTGTGTTATTTACCATAATTATATATGTTTTCATAAGTGAAGGTTACAATTTTGTTTTTATTTATGGATTCATTTTATGTTTTCTTCCTCCATTGATAGTCCACCACAACAAACAACAACATCGGGAAGTTCTCCACTCAAGATTATTGCCAACGACTCCCTTCTACCAAGGTTAGTTTTTTAGTTTTGATAGACATTCCAGTGGTTATGTAATCAATTAAGTTCATTAGATAGCTAATGCTTAAGCTGTGGCAAACTACAAGTTTTAACCGATTACATTATATATATAATCGATTAAAACTCATGCCTTTGCTAACACCTGTTTGCTATGTGTTGTGATGTGTTTTGAGAAGAAAAAGTTTTCAAAATTGTCTAAGTATAATACTTAACTGATTACATTGTTTACTTAATCGGTTAACTTTGGTATACTTTGAAAACTGTTTTCAAGAGATGTTCTAATTGTCACAATGATTATATTTTCAAATAATCTGACTTGCATTTTATGTGCAATTGATTATATTAATTGCTAAATCAGTTAAATCTGTTTTAATGTAATTCTGGTATAACTCTGTTAAAAGTATAACCGATTACATTATTTTCATAATCGATTAAAAAGCGTTAGACATAAGAAAATCTATACAATGACGCGTTGCACTCTCCATTAACAACTTTTGATCATTTGAACTTTTAAATCTAATATCAATGAGTCTAGGAAAGAATTGTAGGTGCGCTAGTTGCTCCAAGAATCAAGATACCAAAGATTTGCAGATTGTGAAGGATTCTTGAAGGATAGCTTTGGACGTTTATTAGCTGATCAATTACTGGAAATTAAGGTGTTTTCTTTTCTGATCAGAACTTTGTTTGCAATCAAGAGATTGTGGTTTCCTTGTGCGTGTTGCCAAGAAGAAGAACTTGTTGTTATTGTGACTTTGAGAAGGGTCTCAAAGGGGTACTATAGAGAAGATGATTGTTCTTTCTGCAGGGAGTGTTTTCCTTTATTAGATTGGTGAGTTATGGAGGAGATTACATTTGAGAGTTGTTCTATGTAAAGCCTTGTTGTAAAAACTCAAATCTTTATAGTGGAAGATCTTTCAATTTAAGGTTGATTGGAACTAGATGTGGACATTGAGGCCGAACCAGTATAAAAAGGTGTGTTTGGTTTCTATCATTTAAACTCCTTTACTGCATTATTTTCATTATTGTGTTATGTGTTAAAGATCATCCTAAAGATTTCCAAAAAGATAAAAAAGAAAGCATTTTTCTTTAAAACCAATTCACCTTGAGAAACAAGGCATAACATTTCTTACAAAATATATGGTAAGAAAGGGTCAAAAGATAGCATATCTCTTTAGACAATTATTCTAGGGTTAAGGTTCCACAGCCCATAATCCTATGCTCCTCAAAAAGTCACATGTATTACAAAAGAGGGGACAAAATGGAAATAGGAGAACCATTCATATATAAGGAGAAAATCGATGGGTAAAACTTGAAGAGAATAAGTAAAAGGAGAGATGAATAAGCAAGAAGAAGAATGAAGTATCTCATGATTCCTTTTACCTTAGGTGGTAAGAGAACCTTTTCTCTCTCACTTCTTAGTTTGTTTTGTGCGAAAATACGCAAAAAAGACAAATTAGGGCAATTTATACTCAATTGATACCGAGAGTATTGCCAAAGATAGAATCACCTTAAATTTTTTGAGTGCATCCTCCTCTACTGTGCAGATTCACTTCTTAGAAAACAATTGGAAAAAATACATTGAATAAGGAAAAAGCCTTTGAAAAATGATTCAACGAACTTGGAAACGACTGATTTTAAAATATTCCTGAGTGCAGACAAGATATTCAAACAAAATTTCTCTGGTAAAAATAACTAATTTCAAAATAGATTATGTTACTTTATTATCTGATACGTTAAAAAGATTGATGTTATATAGCTACTTTTAATTTATAAACTGGATATTGTTTTCCTAGAACTTTTTTTAAATAAATTCGAACTTTTAATTTATAATCTAGTTACTTTTTTTCTTAGAAACTTTTGTAAGAAGATCGTACAAAAGTAACGTAGAATTTCAAAGTAAATTGGTTCTTAAAATTGGCTAAGAAGAAAGATCTGTTGTTTAATGACATAAGATGCTGTGAAGCCCAGAACATTGCTCAAGGTAATTGCACGTAGTCACATACAAAGAATCTCCGTACAAGTTTATGACGTTGTTTTCAAATATGAAAACTGATCAATACTTTCTTAAATTTTTCAAACACTATTTTTTGTTTAAATATATACAAATTCACTAAAACGAGAGATAAATTCATTCAATAAAGAATGAGAGACATTAAAGTTTCTAAGTTTTAATTAATTTAACTAATAAAAAATATTTGAAAAAGAGAGTTGGATCAGTTGAGATAATATCTATACGATTAATTACTATATTTATAAATTTTGAAATCTGAAACTTTTATTTTATTTTACTTTTAAAAGACATTTAAAATAAAAACAAAAAAAATAGATATTTAAAATATTTCTAATCTCAACATTAATGATGTGAAAGCATTAAGTGTTTTAAAATAAAATTTCAGTAACCTAACTTCATCGAATAACTATCTAAATATGTAATTACTCAATAATTATCTAAACACCGTATTGAACCTTAGTTGTTATTTATATTAAGATGATAGTATTTTGATTACACGCAAAATCTTTTTATTCTTATTTGATACTATCATTCAGTATTTTTTTTTTATAAATATAAAACTTTATTTTTTTATAATCATTTTATCCCTATGTAAATGTCAAGTGGTGATTATATTAATCGAAAAAAAGTTTCTTTACTATTTTTGTCATTCTTGATGGTCCCGCAAGTCTATGATTTTTTCCAAATTCGATCGCCCTGCCTAGCATTGTATTTGGTCACACGAGATCTTAATAAAATAAAATATTCTCCACCGGTACACCTTCGAATAAAGCAATTTTTTTGGGTTATTAAATCAATTAATATGTGCATTAATTTACTAATATTTAATTTTTTGTTAATTTTTTATTGTTGAACATTGGTGAGAGGAGAGGCTATAGTAATGCCACGTCGTTGAAAGAAAAGGTAACCAATAGCCTGAAGAACGCATGCTCGTGATGCGTAACAAAGCAAACCAGAAAGATAACAAAGAAAATTAATAACTAATTGACTGAGGACCAACTTTGAACTTAGGTTACAACAAAAAAAAAAAAAAAAAAAAAACTTCTTTTCCTTTTTGCTTTTCTTTTTCATATTTTACATAAAAGCTTGTTTTCTTTTGAATCGTTCCGTAACTATGTACGATTCTCTTTTCATTCGATAAAATCACCGTTTATTAAGAATAGAATATTATGAAAAAGTAAAATTTAACGTAATTGTACTCTTGAAATTGCACTATTTTATAAAATCACGACTTTTTCCTTCAAGAGACCATCGTGCCTATTTTAAAACTGAAATTCATAGTAAAACTTGACATATCTAAATGAAATAATTAATGTGATAAAATGTATAAGAAATTATTTTTTAATAAATAATCAGATTGAGTATTTAATGGAAATATGCGTAACACTAAAATAGAAATAATATGACTCGTCCCAGGTAGTGAGATAAGATAGAATTTGAATTTTATTTATTCATTTATTCTCACATGGGTAGGTGTTGTTTCTTCTATATTTCTTTTTATTTTATGTAAACAATCCTTTGAAAGTGTGTTGGTCTAGTAGAAAGATTTATCTGGGTTTGGTCTATTAGAAACAGAATAATATACTGTCCATACAATCTCTCTCTCAACGTCTATGTGTTTTTAAAGCCCTACTATCTGCTGGACATTTCGAACCAATGAGAAAATTGTGATGCTTATAATTGAGAAATCCGACAGAATTTTCAAGAAAAAATGTATGTTTTTTTGTTGAGTTTTGTAATATTCTCGAATGTTCTTTCTTGTGTATCAAATGGTTTCTTTGACTTCTGTTGAATTGCTTTTTATTAATCAGGATGAATTGCATGCTGATGAAGTTCGTGAATTAACGCTCGTACCTGTGCAGGAAAATTGTCAATGCATGGTGTGGCATCAGGCTGAGCAATTAACCTTGAAATTGGCCTATATATTCCAGAGTGTCTATGTGGCACTCTTGGAACCACTGGAATGCATTTATGTCATGATCTGATGGTGAAGTTGGTGCAAGTGTGAGAAACATCTTGGGCAAACTACAGTGTACACCTTGGACCTGTTCCTTTGCCTTCATGCAACTCTTCATTAATAATGAATGAAAATGAAGGATTCTTCTGGGTATAAGGTTTTCAGGTCAAGGGCCTTAACTTGTTTTAGTGACCCTTATTCTCCTGAAAAGCCCCCTTCTCTGGTGAGGCATTATCACAGGATTAACTTCAAACACCTAATAGACAAGGTTGTGTTTGCTGAAAGAGACCAGCATAAAGATTTCAGGTGTATTGATGACTCTTTTGTTTGTGCTATAGAATGGGTGATACGAGTTTGAGGCAATGGTTAGATAATCCTCAACGATCAGTGAATTTCTGTGAATGCTTCAACATATTTAGGCAAATAGTAGAAATTGTTCATGTGGCTCATTCTCAAGGAAATGCTGTTCATAATGTGAGGCCCTCTTGCTTTGTCATGTCATCTTTCAGCCATGCCTCTTCTATGGATCCAGCAACTTGTTCAGATGCTGACTTAGATACTCCAGAAGAAGATTCTGAGATTAAAACTCCAACACTCACACCTAGCTGTGATATGCATCAGCAGAGATGTTTGGGAAGTGATGATTTTGTGCCTGCCAAGACTTCAATAGCTTCTTTGTCAAGTGTGGTATTTGTGCCACCTACATCATTAATGGAAGACATAGAAGGAAATGATGAGGAAGTTGCAGGAAAGAGACAATTGTATGCAATAAAACAAGAACTGGTGATGGAGTTGAGTTGGTATACTAGTCCTGAAGAGGTTGCTGGTGCTGTAAGGTCCTGTGCTTCAGACATTTTCCAGCTAGGAGTTCTACTTTTTGAGGTTCACAACAGAAATATGACCAATCTTTTTTGAGTTCTAGACTTTAATTCGGTGTATTTTATCTGATTTTTCTTGTTATTTCAATACGGAAGTAAGATAAAGTTTTCAAAGATCCTATTTGCAGATCTTCCGTTTCAATTTATTCTAACTTGAGTGTCTTACTTTTGAGCAGCTATTTTATCCACTCAGCAGAACAGAAGAAAAGAGCAGAACCATGTCCAGCCTTAGAAATAGAGTTCTTCCTCCACAGTTACTTCTAAAGTGGCCTAAAGAAGCTTCATTTTGCTTATGGTTACTACATCCTGAACCCAGTCATCGTCCAACAATAGGGTAAATTCTCTTCATCACTTTCCTTTTACATATTAAAAAATATCCAAGTTAATTGTTTGCACATGTTCCAAATCACTTGCCACTTCTATGTACTGTTTCTTTTCCATTTCTGTTATCCATTTCCTTCAATTTTGATTATAAGGTTGTGCTTCTGCTAAGTCCCTTCATATTTTGAATAAATTAAGATCCTTAAGTTGATCTCTCATGTTTTGCTAAGACTGCAATTAGGTCTAGTCTAAGGTTTGCGATCTGCATATTTGCCCCCTAAACTTGGCAAGAAGTTTGCTTCATGCAAGATAAAACAAGATAAAAGAACTTCAACTATGTATTGAATCTTTCGAGAGAGATTCACCGAATGAGATAAAACACCAGAAAAACCTGATTACAACTTATATATAAAAAATTAACATCATTTCTGATCAAAACTTTAGAATAATAAATTTATAAATCTTATTTCATAAAGTATTTAACTTTGTGGTCTTGTTTTAACGTAAGACTTAAATTTATATTTGAGTTTTCATTAGAGGATAAAGAAATAAAGAGATGAGTTGAAAACAAAGTTGATCCAAAGAATCTGGTTTTGCATAATTGAAACTGATATACAACAACAACATAGCCTTATAATTATATTACATTTGTCTTTCTTCATTTTAGTCATCCCACTTACATCCTTTTGGTGACATCCTCGTTAATTTCTCTATAGTTTTTTATGATTCATATCAAAAAACTACTAAGAAAACCTGTTGAACATTTGCTATATAAACTTTTCAACATCAATTCTAGAATTGATATTTAATAGTGTATAGTGGTATATAGTTGAAAGTCACTTTCAATATCAATTATAGCCTTACCAGGTACTAAAAGTCACACGATATCAAAACTTTCTGACATTATTGTGAAAAGCAATATTGATAGTACAACTTTTTTAAAAGAGTTGTGTTTTTTTTTGTATCCTATGTGAAATATATAAAATACAATTGTTACACCATAGCAATACAAATGCATAAAGTAAATATTCCCTTTAAAGACTTTTTTTCAACAATTTTACTAGATGATGATTTTAAATGTAATTCCTCTTCTTTTATCTTCTTTACCCAAATCCTTGTCTTCTTCTAGTTTCTCTTTATTTTTGCTTTTGTGTTCTTTCTCCAATTTTTCTTTAAGTTCATTATAATTCTTCTTGTCTTTATTCACGTATTACTTTTTTATTAGGACATTGATGATAATTATGTCCATGACCAGGAGTATGTAATAGAAACAATGGTGACTTACTAATCTCATGCAAGATTGGTTTTTACAATTTCTATCCAAGGATCCAGAAAACACAAAAGTGAGAAAGGGGACATAAATGAATCTCCAATCTACTTTAATTGACTCTATGATTAATAGAAATTAATGAGACGGGAAATATTTGCCACTTTGTATAGGAAATTTAAATATATAATTCTAGTTAAGAACTTGGACAAAATATTAGTTAAGAACTTAGAGAAAAATCCGATTCAAGAAAATGATTCAAAATTATTAAATGAGCATTTATGACTTCAAGAGTCTACAAAAAGTTATATATTTTGGACTTTGTACTTAAGGGTCTAATCACTAATAAGACTAATCCAATAAACCTCTTAAAAATTAAATTTTTAAGAATTTCTAATTACAAGAATTATAAAAAACAAATAAAGACCTAATACAAAAATTTAGAAAAAAAAATGGCAAGTTCCAAACCCAAAAATTACAAAACATTTATCCTAACTTCAAGCCTTTTTCATGGTTTTTTTTTTTTGTTTTTATTTATTTATTTTACATTTTATTCATGATATTATGTAGTTTTTTATTAGGATATTTTAGAATGTATAAGTGTTAAGCCAAACTTGTAAGTTGTTACATATGATAATTGTCTTGCTTTTGTCTTTCGGTCTCTGATTTATGTCTTTGCACACTGATTAAAGTTATCTAATCCTTATATAAATAAAGGATTGGTATGTGTTTTACTCAATATAAAAAATACATACACGTTACCTTTATATCTTCTGTCAGAATCTTTTATGGTATCAAGAGCTAACTTCGGAACCTATGAGTGTGAGGAGTGAGACAAACTAGTTCTCTAGTTTATTCTTTGATTTCAAGAGTGTATCTAGAGTGGTGTGAGAATTCTTCAAAGAGAGCATCTTGTGATCATCAAGAAGGTAGATATTTTGGGTCATCAAGGAGTGCAAGAAGAAGGTTATAGTGAAATTATGGCTGGTCTAGGAGGGATGATGCAAGGTTCTTTTCCAGTCTTTGATGGGAAGTGTTTTGATGAATGGCATATCAAGATGAATGTCATTTTCAGCTTCCAAGATGTTGAAGATGTTGTATTCGAAGGATTGCCTGAATTAAGTCCCAAAGTCACTGATGAAGAAAAGAAAAACTTCAAGATTAAACAAAAGCTTAGTAAGGCTCAGTTTTTTCTCTATCAATGTGTTGAACCAAAAGTGTTTCATAGAATATCAAAGGCAAAAACAACAAAGGAGATATAAGAAATTTTGCTGAAAACATATGGAGATGGTGACAAAACCAAGAAGGTGAAGATGCAAACATTGAGGAAGCAGTTTGAATGTCTGGCTATGGAAGATAATGATACCTTGACGAATTATTTTGACAAGGTGCAAGAACATGTGAGTGCAATGCGTGCATGTAAAGATACTATCATGGATCAGTATGTTGTTGACAAGATCATGAGGACTCTACCACCAAGGTTCGATCATATTGCGGTTGCCATTGAAGAAAGGCATGACTTAGAGACTATAGAGGTGGAAGAACTACAACATTCACTAGAGGCTCATGAACACAGATTGAATGAGCAAAGATAGTACCAAGATCAAGTATTGCAAGTTCGATCCTAATTTCATGGAAATGGAAAAAGGGTCTAAAAGATTTGAAAAAAAAAGCATAAGTTTCAAGAAGAAAGCAAGACAAAGACTTTCAATGATCTGAAAACTTGAAAGAGTCAGCAAGTCATATAAGAATGGTTGATCAAGAAAAGAGCTGGAATTTTACAAAAAGAAGGTTAGATGTTTTAATGTCAAAAAACTTGAGGCATTATTGCTCAAAGATTGGTTGGGAGGGTTGAAAGGTGCAACACCAGAATAAATACCCAAAGAATCAAGTAATCTGGGCAACAAGACAATACATCTAAGCTAATTAGTGGCAGCAGTGATGTATGGCAAGACACACAGAATGAAGATAAGCTTAGAAGAGGGGTGTCATAGGGTACCTTGATTCAGGGGTGTTCGACGCATATGAATGTGCATAGAAGAGAATGCGTTGTGTAAAATGACATGAAGTCCTAAATGGTTTAGTAGAGTTCGTAGATATAGAAGCTTTGCCTGTGATGCGACGAGTCTGGCCAAAGTTGTACTTCAAGATGAAAATAGGAGAAAAGTTGCAATAGATGAAGTCTTATTTGTTCCAGGACTCAAGACAAATTTACTAAGTCTGGATCAACTTTTGCTAAGGGGTTTGTATGAGATGGAGAATAAGAATCTTAGCATTTTTTACCAAAGCAAAAGATTGGTCATTAAAGCAAGTTTGTCTCGAAACAGAACTTTTCGTGTGATAATGAAGGCTGTGAAGCATCAATGTTTTACTACAGCAGGAAAAGCAGTGGAATGACTTTGGCATTTACGTTTTGGACACCTAAACTTCAGAGACTTGTGTAAACTAAGTCAACATTATATGGTAAGTGGTTTACCTTTGGTAATATTCTTGAATCAGTGTGTCATGAGTGTGTCCAAGGTACACCAAGATCCAAACTAGAAGCAAACTTAAGCTGGTCTAGGCATATGACTCAAAGTACAATATGGTATTTTCTGGACTAGAATGCTTATACTTAGGGAGAAAGTGGACTGTTGTTCAGTGAAGACAAATATAGTTAAGTTAATAAATGTGGTGAAGTACCTCAGATTTATATGATATGAAGATTATGTTGTCCCCCACACATGCATAAGGAACCGTAATAAATCTGAAACAAGTCGTTCTATAGAGAGGAATGTGATGTACCACATTGAAGACTACTAAATTTGAATTGGAAGCTGGAGTATTAACCATGTAGAGATTGGATTTTCTGTTTCTAATCCAAATTGAAGAAAACTATTGGGTCAGAATCTAATTACATGCAGTGGAATTGAATCCAGTAAAAACACATGGAATGATAATATACAGGGGTTATAAAGGAAATGTATCTTAGTGAGACAGTTTTGGGTACTATCGTGAAAGTTTAAGAGAAAAAGATCTTGACATTCACACATCACATTAGGACATGTGTTTATAGGTACAACCAAAGGAATCTTGCCTGACTTAAGTAAGCGACCTGACTTAGCAAGTGCTTCAAGAGAGGTGAATGCAAGAGATAGATCTATTAGAAAAATAAATTAGATGAACCTGAGAAAGGCATAGAGAGGGATACTAAAGAATATAAAGAGGTGTTAGTATAAGGCCAGACTGGTTGCAAAGGAATTTCTACAAAAGGCTGGAATAGACTATGGTGAGGTGTATGCACCTGTGGCTAGGATGGAAACGGTGAGACTTGTAGTGGCCTCAACAAATCAGCTTGGTTGGTCATTACATCAATTGGATGTGAAGGTAATTTTCTAAATGGATGGCTAGAAGAAGAGGTCTATGTAGTGCAACCCCCTGGGTTCAATGTAGAGGTGCAACAGGGAATGGTATACATGTTGAAGAAAGCCATGTATGGGCTAAAGCAGGCCCCTAGAGCCTGGAATCAGAGGATTGATGAATTCATGGGCAACATTCGTTTTGAGAGGTGTTGTTTTAGAACATGGTGTATATGTGCAGAACAAATCAAGAGAAGGAAAAATTGAAAGACTAATAGTGGTGTCTATATGTGGATAATGTTAGTTATGAAAGCCAAATGAGTGCTGATTGAGAATTTCAAAATGCACATGCTGGAGTGAGTTTGAAATGAGTGATTTAGGCAAACTAAACTTCTTCCTTAGCATAGAGTTTGTTGAAATTGAGAAAGGGATAGTGATGC